GCGGGCGAGTCGGCCGCACCCAGAGGATGGCGCCCCGCGACGCCTGCAGAGGCCAGGGGCGCGTCCGGAAAGGGGCGACGCAGTTCTTTGATCACGAAAACGTTGAAATACGTTGGACCCGAACCGAGTTTGGACTTAACGTTTCCGGACAACGCACAATCTCTGTATTGAGTAGCCGAACCTGCTTGGGGTTAAGAGTATTTGACCGCCGAGGTCATTACAGCTGCCCCCAGCACGGCAGCGGCCAGCAGCACTGAACTAAGCTTTCTCATTGTGTTCGGCACAGATTCAGGAATTAAATCACAATGCCGCAAGATTCCAGACAAATGTAGCTGGTTGTAGCCTGTGGCTCCACTGCATGACCGCTGGTCTCCTAACAGCCTACAGGGATGGCCATGCAGTGTGGGCCGGGCTTCCGGGACACCAGGCGTAGCGGGTTGCTTGAGGCATCCTGCTCTTCTACGATAAAGTAGGAAACTTGTTTTACTGTATCTGAAACGAATAAATTTTCTTCTAGCTTTAACGGGATAAATTTCAGTGAGAGTTGGCGGTGGTGCTGTCATTTCCCGTGTAGGGGTGAAATTTGGTGTCTTTTTTGTGTAAATACAAGGCTCTCCTGTCCTTGCTGGACAGAAAGGTGGGTGGACGACATCCACGCTTCAATGGGACTGCACGGATACAATAAAGTCTCTCTTCTGCCCTTGCATTACCACACGAGACAAGCAACCGCTCCACCTCTTCTTCGCGACTTCTTTCGCCTGGCAAAAACACCTACAAAGCCCCAAAAGCGAAGCCTCNTTTTTTTATACACAGCAGAGCTTCAACTACCAACGCTGGAAATCCGAGCTGCGACCTCCAGACCGAAGGCGGTGCAGTACTCGGAGAAAGCAGCCCGCTGAACATGGTTCTGAGCTCAACTGCTTGGCCTGTTGTGCTGGTGTTGCAGGAGAAAACGACTGGATGCATGCCTTGCACCCTGGCCACTTAGCCTTCTACGAGGTATGAGATGTTACTCGTTTACATACGATGTAGGGAAAATTTGGCAAGCTCTAGCGGGGCCATACTCGCTCTGCAGGAACCCTTTCAAAAGCCGCATCCTGGGTTTCTGCTTGCCGTTTTATCCTATCACATCTCCGCCCGTAACCAACTAGAGGGTAAAGTCCTAGTCATGACCAGCTACATTTTTGCCGCTTGCACGGTCCTATCCTCAAACCGCTGAACCGTGACAAGAGATGACGTGACTGTAAGCGAAATTTAGGAGCACCGTGCGGCACTTTGTATCATGTTATCTACCTGTAGGGGACCCCAGTTAAGAGATTCAAAGAAACATATCATTCCTGCTGGCCTGCAGACACTGCAGATACTGCAGATGCACTAACACAGGCATGGCAACTGAGGTTCAAGAAGATCTCACCGAGTTGCGCCTTCTTGACAATGTCTAAAGAACTATGAAAGAAGTGAGCAGAAGCAAGGCGGTAGCAAGGAGAGCAGACTGGGTAGAGGTAGAGGCGGAGTTTTCTATGGCTTCCTTTATGTTCGCCCAAACATCCTCACTGCGAAGAAGGCA